GAAATGCCTTCGTTTGTACAGCGCCTGGCACACGCCGTGAGGTAATGAGGGGAACGCGCATGCGCGCGCTGGCGGCAACCCGGCTGACACGCGTCTTCGGGGCGCACCGATGTGAGGGAAGGGACGTGGACTTCCCCTGCCGGGGTGCCCGGCGACATACGTGCCCCTCTTCTCTGCTCCCACACCGCCTAGGGAGCCCTGACACGTAGGGACGGGTGTGGACACGTGTATATGTGGGAGGGGGCGTGACCAGGTGGGCTTGAAAAGAAAAGCATGGTTCCCGTTCACACACGTGTTTTCAGTCGCCTCAAAGGGGTGCCAGTGAGGAACAGGAGGGAAACCAGAAGTCAGGGTGGGAAGGGGTTGTTGCTAGAGGGGGTGGGGGTGAATGGAGACAGGGAGGCATCAGGAGGCAGAAGACCTGGGTTCAAATCCCTGGTTGGCTGTGGAAATTCACTGGGAAACGGTAACATTGCCCCCAAAACCTCCCCCCAAACGTTGGTAACATTTCCCCACAAACTTCCCCATAGAATAAAAACTCAAGAGGAAACAAATTGATGGCACATCACAATGGCACATTACAAGATTTGTGCAATATTGCAACCCTTGTATATCATGTTTACCCAGGGTGGCGTAGTGGATAATGTGAGGGATTAGAACCCAGGAGGCCTGGGTTCGAATTTCTGCCATGGAAACTCTATGAGGATATAGGATTGGTAAAATCTCTCTTTTTAAAAAATATCTCACTTAGGGTTGCTATAAGTTGGTTCTGACTTGATGGCACCTAACAACATGATCATGTTTACTTGCCAACAGAGGCATATTATTCATACATGTTCCTGTGTGCATTATTTACATGTATATTGGTAGATGAGTCATTTTAAAAGTCTCAGACAATTCATACATTCCCATATAATTGCTTAAAACATGTTTTTGGTAGAGTGAGTGGCAAAATAGAAAAACTGAAATATTATGGGGGGAAATTTTATTTTCTTGTTGTTGTTTCAACTTGTGTATAACCCTGTAGTGCTTGCAGCATTCTCTGGGCATAACATAATTATGTGAACAACCACTTGCCCCCTAGCAAGCTAGGTACTCATTTTACCAACTAAGGATAGAAGGCGAAATCAATCTTGACCCAGCTACCTGTGTTTATTCAGAACAATTAAAAAGGCAGGAGCTGAATTTTCTTGCTATAAAACTTTAACGTTCCTGTTTCTTTAGTCACTATACTAAATAAGCACGTACATCATATTTACGTGCGGACTCATTTATATTGTTAACTCAGACAGGTGAATATTTAATGCTCATGTGTTTGTATATGTTTGTGTGATATTATTGTTCATGTAGTAACAATTGTGGCATCTGTGTTGCTAGTACCTTTGCTAATAGTACTACCAATGGGAAATTACTATTTTCATTTAGGGAAAGGACTGCACATAGTTTGAAGTAGGTATACCTGGTTAAGGATAAAATATTGTTCCTAAAGCAATGCACCAGGAAAAAAACGACTGCAGTGTTTTTACTGCTCTTTAATAACACCCAGTTAATGGTGCTGGAGTGGACAAAGGAAGGGAGAACCATGTTTTAGACATGCATATGTAGAAAATAAGGAAGTATGAGCTATATTTCCCAAATGAGTGAAAGTATCGTCTTTTGGATTTTTGAAGCTGCACATATTCTGTATCAGTTTTTGTTAGGGGAAAAGTACCAATTTGATTTCTTCCATTTGTTAGCCATCATGTTAAGAGCAGCCATGTTTCATCTGATTTATAGTGTTCTAATAGGGTTTTCATGGTCCATGAGGTACCAAAAGATTGGTTTTAACAGTGCCACTCCCCCCCCCTGATGAGTTTCCCTGGCAGAGCCAGAGGATCGAACCCAAGTTTCCTGAACCCTAGTCTGTCACTCTATCCATTTCACCCCACTGACTCTTTCAAATACTTCAACATGCCTAGCATATGCCTTCCTTCTCAGATATTGTTGCTGTTCCTCCACTATCTTGTGCTTGCAGCCTGTAGGCATACTTTAAAGATGCATTCTCAAGATGTCTACACTGATAGGACTTCTTCTCCCACTCTCTTCAGCCCTACCCAGTTCACTCCTCCTTTGTAGGAGGAGATTCATACTTTCACTTTTCCTTCTGTCCTTGTGATGATGAAGTAAAGTACTGTACGAGAAGGCTCGGTGCTGCTCTTTGGACAATAATTGTTCCTTTTCTTTCTGGTGACGGACAAGAAAACCATGTGTGTTGAGTATGACCGTGGCTTTTATCAGTTCTCTTGAACATCTTTTGTCCAAGGTAAAACTGTGGCTGATGCTTCTGTGTACAAAGTGTAATCTTGAATATATGTGTCAGTGAGATGAGGCGTCAGAGCTGAAAGTTATAGAATGAGACCATTGTAGTGGTCATTATGTTTCATAAGAGGCAAAGGCAAAACTGAAAAGATATGAGGCACACCATATTGGGGAGAGCCCGAGGGGAGAACTCTTGCAGAGATAAGATGATAGTGAGAAAATTTATTAAATTAGTTAGCAGTATAGTGGATGGAGTAGAGTCATATCAAATGGACAGCTGGCCAGGGAGAATTAAACACGTTCTCTTCAAATGTTACCAGTCCATTTCTAAGAGAGATCGGCTGCTGAAGTTGTCCATCTGGAAACTAATATCCTTATATATTTTCAGGTCCTCTTTGAACTTTTTGTGATGCCAAATAGGTCCCTCTTTTTTTTATGTCTTCCATCTTTTTTTCTTGTTGGAATTGTTTACTGTTAGGCCTTTAGAATTTCCTTTCTAAGAAATCCCACCCATCTTGGATTCTTTTTCTTGTTAGGATCTCCTATCATGGTACTTTACTTATCATTGTTCTGGGTTTATTACTTTCTTATGTCTGTCTGTGAATTCCCTTTGTCTTGTCTGCCTTGAAGGATGTTGAGAATGTCCTCTAATATGCATCTGTATCCAGAAACCAAAAATATTAAGGGCCTTCCCTGTCAAATTCCTCTTAGCTCACCCTGGTCACCCACTCCCAGGGGTCTGCACCAGTTTTATTCCTCTGCTGTGCTCTGCTAGGAGTCAGCAACCAAAACACTTGGAAGTAGTTTACCATTCCCTTCTCTGGGTGTAAGCACACATTTTATTTTATGTATTTTTTTAAAAAAATATCTTTATCTCACCTTTCTCCTTAAGAAGGACCCAAGATGATTTGCATGAGAAAACATCCCCAATAGTAGCTAAATTAGTTGTTGCAAGTTTTTCAGGCTGTTTGGCCATGTTCTGGAGGTTTTTCTCCCTAACATTTCGTCAGTCTCTGTGCTGGCATCTTCAACATAACTGGCGAAACGTTAGGAAGAATAACCTCCAGAACATGGTCAAACAGTCCAAAAAACCTACAACAATCATTGGATCCCAGCCGTGAAAGCCTTCAAGAATACGTTAATATTTGAATTGTTCTCCACTGTGTCACATGACAAGCCTGGGCTATAAAGATCCATACTCAAGTTATATCCTAGGTGAGCTTTTTTACTCTCCTTTCACCTGTTTAAATGTATCATTTCTGAGGGGGGGGAATTAAGTGTGCTCTTGGTGACACTCCTCATGCTGTGTGTCTTGAACTGTACCTGGTGGGGATGCTTCAATGGAGTGAAACAGATTTTACTGCTTCTCAGGGAACTTTATAGTGTTTAGGCACTTCAGCCAACATTTCTGCCTGTCATTTTCACAAGATATTTAGAAGTAGTCCTCAATTTGGGGAATTCCATTTGGGATGCTTTGCTGATCAAAGTAATGCTCTTCCTTTTTTAATTATCCTTATTATTGTTGTTATTTATTTATTTATTTAATAGAGGCTGGAATCCAATTCTTTAGCATAAATAATTGTATTAGAGTGGGCCAGCTAAATCATTGGGGATTTGGTGAGTCCATTAATTCAATTGGGCCCACACTAGTTGTACAATGCTCTGATATGAATAAAGAAATACAATTTAAAATTATGGACATATATGAAATATAGGTAAAATTAAACCCAAACTAAAATTTTAAAATAATTAGACTGATTTTGACCAGAAACAAGTTACTTCAATAGAATTATCTCAACCATTTGCTGCATTGATTGAATTTCTTTAGTCATATTTTTTGCTTTCCTTTTCCCCTGTCCTCCTCACTTTTAAATCTCCCCCAGTGAAGAAATGATATTGTTGAAAGCTTCCCCATTTTTTTAGAAGAATCTATGCAAGCATATCAGGCAAAATCCATTTTTACATGTCTACTGATGTCTTCATGTTCTTTTGATTAGCCTGCAGAGGTCTCGCTGAAGAGATAGACTGTCAGACTTTCACTGAAGTTTTTAAACTCGAGTAGAATTATGGTTGAAAGGTTAGGTGAGGAAAGATTTACCAAGAAACTGGCCACCAGGAAATTACAGGGAAATACATGTATGTTTAAACTCTGGTTTGCTAAAACTTCTAGGAAATAGTTATCTCATAAACTGTTTTGTGTCTCTAAATAAACTGGTATTTAAAAATTTTTAATGAGGGGAAAAGACAGTTAACCCAATGTGGTTTCATTTGTTGCAGTACAAATAACATGGCTGTAATTACTTTCAAGAGCTGGTTCTCAGAAGGTTGTGGGCTTTATTTAGCTATGACAGATTACTCAGCTAAGAGTGGAAACAGAAGAAAGAAATAGCTCTGTGCTTGAAATCATCATTTTATTCAGCTTTGACTTCCTGGCAATCATTCAGGGCAGCCAGATCGTTATTTTTTCCATGAATAAGTGATTTTGTTGAATGTAAGAAATTGTGTGAGGCTGTGAATCATTGATTCCCTCACCACCTCTTGCAGAGACCGTGAGGCTGAAGCAATTTTCAGCTGGTGTCTTTGCTGGTCCACATCTTCTCTGGTGGGTTGTTTTTGGACTATAAAACTCTGTGTATGTGTGTGGTTGAGACTGACTTTCTGAAAGGATGGATGTGTATACTATTGAAAAAATAAAATTTCTCATGGAAATAGTATGTGAATATGTTTATGAAAAGAGCCGAAATCCCTTTATATATTCCTTGAACTTCATGACAGTTCAAAAGGGGGAAAGTGCATTCTGCAATTAGAATTACTCTGCAAATTAAATAATGAAATCTTCTTGTTTTTTCTACCACCAGTCATGTGTACTAATAGATGCTGAAGTATTGTGCTTTCAGATAGACACTGGAATTACATATTTAAATGGGGGGTGGGGGACAAAGCAGAGGAACAGAAGTTACGTGAATTAATTAGTACAGTAGTCTTACCTGAAGCTGTTGCCAGCGAAAGATAATTCCAATTTTTTTTTTCAGTGAGATTTTCACTATAATGATGTTTAGAGAAATGCATTATTCTGGATGAAGCTAGGACTTCTTGAGGTTGATTCATCTTGGTAGTTTTGGAAGCAACCAGATGGAAACTTTAACCCCACCCCCATTATCTTTTTTTGGACGGCTTGTGTTAGTAACTTCACAGTTTTTAAAAGTCTTTACAATTGATTAAGCTGACTCATAGTAGGTACTTTGTGTATCTTTTATGCTGGAGAAAGGAAAGTACTGCACGCCAAAATGTCCAGGACTATATTCGTAGCGTTGTGCCTGGGGCCCACAAAAATAGAACTTTTGCTCTATGAATTTGTGTCTGATGCAATCAGTTGGCAAACGTGTTTCTAAAAATATATGCAGCAGTTAAGGGACAGCTACTGCTGAAAGCAGCTTGGTATTTGAAGTCTTCGGGGTTCTTTGAATTGCAGTGCTATGCTAGGAGCTACCGGACTAGTTTCATCCTAACCATTTCAAAAGGTTTATTTTCCTCTAGTAAATAGTGGCAATTGAAGACCCACTCAGGTTTTCATAGTCCAACAGGCAGACAGGGCTGGTTCAGGTGATGTTCTTTCGTGCAAACCTTGGCTTCTATCTGAGATCAGACAAGTCAGATAAGGTTTGCAGAACCTAATTTGTATTTGGGAAATTCCTCACTATGTGTCAATTTGAGCTAGAGTTTATTTATTTATTTTCTCCTTAAATTGGGTGGTACACATCTTTTCTACTTTTCTTCACTTGATTGAAATGTAGAAAGCTGTTATTGATGCAGGAGATAGATGTGGAGAAATAGGGTGCAGGAGAAATGTAACAGCAAGGTTACATGGTTCACTGTTCATGCTTTGTGTCAGAGCTTGTAATGAGTTTCCAGATTTGCATCTGTACCAAATGTTTAGCAGACCACATAGATGTAGCTACAGCATCCTGAGCTCCAGAATGTCTCTTACAGGTTCTTTTTGCAGACCTTGCAAATAATCAGTTTGTTGAAGATCTGATGGGAGTTGCAGTAACTAAACATGTGGAGAGTCACTCTGAGTTAGACATTGTGCTTTCTGTGGTGGAATGCTAGCTCTTTATCTTCCTTTTTGCCTCTTACACAGCTTTCCTCCCGGTATGCAAGTGTGGAATGCAATCTGAGGAGGCTGACTGGTTCCCTTTCTGTAGCTGGAAGTCTTCCTCCCTCTGGAAGAACCCGATCATACGCATCATGATTTCTCCTCCTGTTCATAAGAAAAACTTTGAAAGGACTTGCCCCCCTATGTGGTGTTCTGCTGTGTAGCCATCCATTTGAAGCAGTAAGAGAGTAGGCAGAGGGGTAGGTCGCCTTTCACATCAATCCTCAGGCAGAACAAACCTAACTCTTTCAAAGACTAGACTGAAGGGGGGTGTTGGGTAGGACAGAAGAGACCCCCCCACAGCCGACAAAGAGGTGCTCTCTGGGAAGGTCTGTAGGGAGCTTGACCTGCAGCTTTTGGGGTCTGATGGTACTTTGCCTAGTTTCACTATAGCGATTAATTTTGTCTTCCACCATATTTTTGGAATTTGTTTGATTATTGAGCAATTATTAAAAAGAAGTCATTTATGTTTCATCCAAAATGTTTCATTTGCTGTATTTGGATATCGGCAATTCCTACCACCTTGCCATTCCTACATCTTAAGGTTTCCTCTAGTTCTGCCGATATGAAGGCAGTAGAAGGTTCATTTGATTCACTCTGGATATCCCTTTGATTTATTTCTATTATGCACTGGTTGGTTTTCCCTGACAGGAGCAGTCGGTGTGCTCTTTGAGCACCACACTGTAAACTTCTGAGAAATGACTGGACAGTTTTGGCTGGAATCCTACTGAACTTTTTGTGTGAACAAAACAATTCCACTAGCATGAAAACATAGGATCAAGCTGTCGGTTTTCTTCATGCTGAGCATCACAGCTATGGTGACAGTGTGTTTACAACCAATGCAGTCCCACATGACTACACTGGCGTAACTTTCCACTCAGTGGAAGTTCAATAGGATACTGAGGTTTTCTTTTCTTAGAATTTTTCTTTTTCCCTTAGAAAAACAGTCATTCTTCAGTATGTGGACCATTAAAATTTTTTTGATGGTTTTTAAATTCTAATTAATTAATTACTTTTTAATCTGTCTGTCTATTTGGTAAGCAATCTAGGATGGCAGGAGACAGACTATGTATATTTTTCAGATATAAAAAAACAGGTTGTTCTGGCAGGAATATTCTGAGAATTGTCATTCAAAACATCCTAACTGATGTTTTGAAATAAAAAGCAAAGTGTGCTGCTTATATACAGCCCCACAGCTCTTAAAGCGCTTTCTGAACAGTTTACAGTTTAATTATCCAGACTACACATAAACAAACAATGGTAAAGGAATTGTTGGTCATGTGGAGTGGAGTAGCTCTTCCAAGTCTGTGTGGTAACATTTAGTTACCTAGTTGCCTGGGAAACTTCCACCGTCCTTAGTTAACTTTAAACTAACCTGTTTTCCATCATCAGGAAAACATTTAGAATAACAAATACATTGTTTTGTAGCTCAGGACTGGTTAAACCTCTGGCCATTTCTAGTTTTGTTTCTGAGGTGTGTTGCAATTCACAGCAGGTTGTGGTGGGTTAACCTCCTGGAGTCTCAGAGCTTGCCCAGCCAACTTTAATAAATAAATCTTTTAAAATAGATACTTGGAAGAAAGCACGCTTGCAAGCTGTATGATATTAAAGTTTAAAATCTAAACTGATGGGATGGTTTTCTTTCTCTTTAGGCCTCCTCTTGGACAACCAATGTTTATCTCCAGTGATGATGTCAGAAATTAAAGCCGCTATTCCCTGCCTAGTCCAGTTATTACAAACTTGTATGATGCAAAGACTGCAGTTCAGCATCCGAAAAACATTGCTTTTAAAACTGTCTAGATGATTGTCGTTGCTTTTGTCGTGTTCTACGTGAGCAGAAGCCTTCTCCAAGGTTTGCGGTGCCGGCTGACTCTTGGGCAGAACCTTCCCTGTTGGTTGCAGATCCTGGGGGACAGCATCATGGGCAACTCCTGCGTTTGTCGGGAAGACAGCGGGGCAGAAGACAATGCAGATTCCAGGAGTCGTCAGGCGGAGAGCAGCAGAGCACCTGCACCTGAAACAAGGAGCCATCCGAGGGACCCAGTACGGCCGCCCCGGCGGGGGCGGGGGCCACATGAACCAAGGAGGAAGAAACATAACGTGGATGGGTTAGTGCTCGACACGCTAGCGGTGATTCGGACACTTGTAGACAAGTAAGTACTTCTTGAAGAGTAGAGTTGGCTGTGAATGACTCCTCATTTTCTTTTGAATAACTGTGATGGAATTAGAGGAAGTTCAGGTGTTTTGCCCCCTCTCTTGGTACACCATGATGATGATGGCTGGGAATCCATATAAGTGTGCTGCTTATATACCTCCGTAGTTCTTAAATCACTCTCTGGGTGATTTACAATTTCATTATTCATATTAGAACCCCACCCTCAGCAAACTGGGTACTCAATTTACCAACCTCAGAAGGCTGACCAAAAGATTTCCAGTTACTGTCTGATTGCCTCTGCACATGTGTGCATACACAGGCATGCACACATATTGCGTGCTTTGAAACTGAAGATTCTTTTTTGGCTATGGTGGGGGAAAACAGCACAAAGACATAGCAGCCCCTCTAACACACTTTAGGGGTTATAATGTGATTTATTGACCAAGTGGGAATAGCCAATTGTGCCAAATCAGTCAAAATAGCATTTTTACTTTATTTTTTTAATTTATATGCCGCCCACACTACCCAAAGGTCTCTGGGCGGCTTACAACATTTAAAATACAATAAAAATTCAGAACAATTAAAATACTATTAAAATATATATAAAAATTGCCATTGGACCCACAGCTAATATTATTTCAATTAAAAGCCTTCTGGAATAGGAAGGTTTTGACCTGGCGCCGAAATGTCATCAGCATCGGCGCCAGACGAATCTCAGTTGGGAGGACCTTCCATAGTCAGGTGCTTTAAAACTTGGTGAACATAAGGAGATATTTCTTCAATTTGTAGTCATCTGGCTGAGGTGAATCCAGGTGATTGAGAGTCCCCTTTGTCTTGGTAGTGGTGCTTTTTGTGGCTATTAATGGTATCTGTTATAATCCAGAAAGAAAGGTCTGTCTGGTCCCCAAAATTATACAAATGTAAGAGTGAGTGATATATTTTATTGGACCAGTGAAGAATCAAAGAAATTGCAAGCTTCTGGGGGAGAAAAAATTACTTTGTTCTCATAGAGTCTATGTGTTAAGACTCCGTTATGGCATTGAGTTAAAACGTTATACAGAAGAAAGAAGTAGGCTATTGAGAAGAAAAAATATATATATTTTATTTAAAAGATGAGTGTATGGCTCATAGTGCTCTCACTTCCCTATGCTACTTCCAGGGTATGAGGCAGCTTGCTTCTGGATACTCATTGGTGGGAAACAATAGCAGGAAAAGCCTGTTGCCACAGTTGGGCTACTCTATGAAATGGGATGCTGGCCAAGAAAGGCTCTTGCTCTGTCTCAAGAGGGATGCTAGTACGAATAGGTGGAAAACCCACTGGGAAGGCCTGTTCTGACTGCGGAGAAGCAGAGTGGTGGTGTGCAAGCACTGTCAGTAGAGTTCCATAAGACCACTTTGGAAGGAGCTGACTCTGTGCACATTCTGTGGGGATAGGACTGAGCTATCAAATCGCTTCAATGTCGCAGCTGGACCTCAGTATTTCTGTTCAACGGCCTAGTATTTGTTTTATCTCAGCAGTTCAAAAGTGCTTCAGTTATTAGTTTAGGAAAGTCCTTGGCCTCCTTTTAGAAAATCCCTTCTGCATGAATTTTTTTGCCCATCAAAATAAAAAAAAAAATCTACTTGCAAGGAATTTAAAATCATAGTGGCTTGTTATTGGTTGTTTTTAGAGGAGAAAGCAAACACATTGGGAAGACCACCTTGAAAGTCACTTCTGCTCACGGCGGTGGCCTTAAAATCCTGAGTGCTGCTTTTCTTGATTAAAATCTTTGTTCTTCGGATGCCAGTTTTTATTATCTTTTGTATCTTAATTTCAACAAGAGTGATGACAGTTTCCTTCCTGCTTCATTATCTAGGCACTCACTGGTGGTGTCGAAATGCTGTTTCATAACTCCTTAGGTGATTGTTCCATTTTTTGCTGTCTGCAAGCTCTGTATCTCTCATGTCTTTTCTGGCAAGGAGGAAAGAACTTACGTTAGACCCAGGGAATGGTCTGAAGGCAGATGCTGCAGCAGCATGTAAATCAAATGTTTATCCATGGGGAATATACAACACCCGTTTTACAACCATTTTACTGGTTACCAGTTTTCTTCCAGGCACAATTCATACCTATCTTCCAAATAGACAAATAGAGAGTTGGAAGCCTTTGGCTGGAAGGCAGCCTAAAAATCTAGAAATAAGACAAATGAAACATTTGGATCACTGAATTCTAATTGTATGGGTTGGTTATGGCAGTAATAAGAGTGTGGAATAAGAGATTTTTACATGCCAAGCTAGGTTCTTTGTTTTCACTTTCATTCCAGCATGTTGCACCAGAAGAAACCTGCTGTTTTGTGGTGTATAAAACTCAGTTTGTTCTTAGTTAGAGGACTGGGAAACATCCTTAAGGGCACATCAGTAGCTGCAGGTCCCTGGATTCCAGTAACTCAGGCCATTCTATGTTCTTCCCCATCCTGGTTTCCTTCTGGTCTGCTGGACTACAGATCCCTTGCTTTCCCTGGCAGTGCCTGTCTTGAAGGCTAAGCAAGAGAACATACCTTGGTGCTGCTGATTTAAATAATATGTGTGTTTAACTCTCGGGGGTGCCTTGGATATAGCTTAAACTTAAAATTATAGTGATCTAAAACACTACCTCCTTGCCTTTGTTATATAGTAGGTACAGCGTTTGGTGTGGAGTTGTGGCTTTTAACTATGCAAGACAGACGGATTTAAAATGTGGCTTTATCCATTTATTGGTTCAAGCAGGTGACCCAAAAGGAAAAACAAAACACTACAACAAATGAATAGAAACAAAACAGAACCGTAAAACTCCTAAAAATGCAAACACTTTGGCCATAGGATGAAATATGAAAAATAGAGATAGTTACTCTTCATCCTTCAAGATGAAATGAATGGGAAAATAAATGCCAGAAAGAGAATAATGTATTAGCTGGAAAACCCTGGGGATTTGTTTGGTTGCTGCTCAGAACTGTTGCTTGTATCTAAAGTCAAAATAGTTGTGATGATGTTCACCCTTTGAGGGGAAGAAATTGTGTTAGTTTGAATGTCAAACCAAAGAACAGAGTGCCCCTGGTCATATCACAAAACTTTCTAGGTAATAGTAGGTCAATTGCTCACTTTCTCTCTAACTGACTGCCAACATGAGATTATTGTAAGAATAAATGTGAGTTCATGCTACTCTGAGTTACTTAGAGAAGAGGTGAGTTAAAAAACTGAATTGACAGGTAAGTGCTGTAGATGATGAATGCTCTCTGTTATGGAGAAGTGTGTTGTTAAGCAATAAAAAAACCTCATGCAACAGTCATGTATCTGCATGCTGTGTTTCTTGTTCACTTTGTATTGACAAAGGTGTGTCATCCCTGATAAAAATTAATGTGATCCTTTTTCTTTTTCTTTCAGTGATCAAGAACCTCCTTATTCAATGATGACTCTGCATGAAATGGCTGAAACAGGTATCTCCAATACTCTAATGCGGTTGTGATCTGCTGGGAAGTCCCTGAGCACTGAAAAGAAGCTTAAAGTTCTGCTGCATGTGTATTTCCTGGGGTTGAGGCAATTTACAGTAATTATCTAAATAATACTGCTGCTCAACAATGAGCTCAGTAAAATTGTAATTAGCTTAATACGTGTAGCTGTCTAATCTGCCTCAATTTATGAGCTGTGTTGTTGCAAAACCATCCAGCCAGCTGCCACGAGTGAGGCTCAAGCTAACAGACTCTCTTTGCTCTTACAGGCAACTAGGGCTTGAGACTGGTAGCCAAACAGCTGTACTATTTGTTTCCAACATAAGATAATTTAGATGACTAGGCTGCTTTGCAAGAGAAAGGAGGAGTATCCTGGAATGTGTGCCAATAACTCCCAGACTGTCTCTTAAGTCGTTACATGTTTTAATTGTTTCCTTGCCGAGAGCACTTGCCAAGGTGTGAATTCCCCTGCTCTGGGCAGGGTGGGCCACACAACTGACTCGGATGGCAAGATTTGGGTGTCTTGAAAGGGCAAGAAATCGTTAATTGCTTACTTGGTTGTTATTTCTCCCACTGGGGACATTCTGTGAGAAGCAAACATTTGCTTTTTTGTTTTGTTTAATTTTTGTTTTTTGTCTTGGCTTTGGGTACTACGTACCTTGTCTTGGGTGAGTGAGGGTCTCCCCTTTGCTGCTTTTGTCTCAGGCAGCAAAATGACGGATGCTGGTGAACTCAAAGTGCCAGAACCTAGGAGGCGGTACTACTAAGGAGGTTCTGCTTTTTAGCTGCATAGGTCCAAAGAACTTAACTCCAGAGTAAAGAGCACCTCTTTAGAAAAGTTAGAGGGATATCCATTTCCTATCTTTTTCACATCTTATGGTGGTGGGTTTCTGTGAAACCTTTGCAGCCTTTTCAGTCTTCAAAGGCCGGCAAGGAGGCTTGGATCCTCATCATCTCTTAACACAGTGTATGTCCAAAGACCATTGTGATCCCATCTGTTTCCTCTGAAGTGATGCTGTTCTTAAAATGTGAGAAAGAAATAAACAACTAAAATGTCAGCTGTAGCCCTGATTATGTCTTGATCTGGGGTAGAGCCTCTAAGCCTCTGTCACTCTGACTTTCGCCCTCTTTTTCTGGGTGAATGATTAGGAAAAAGGGATCAAACTAAGACATTGTCTGGTGATCCGAAGAGGTTTCCAAGAGGAGAACAGCCTGAGCATTCAGATTTTTGTACTTGACTGAGAAGCCTATCCTGACTTGCTTTGTATAGAAATAATACAGAGTGTGGGAAAGTGGCCATGGTGGCCAGGATTTGTAGTCTAAAAATATAATTCAGTGTCCAATGCACTCCTCTCTCTCATGCTCAAGACTTATTTAAGAGAAAGGGTGCTAGAAATCAGTTTGAAGAATATAGGGCATTTTAAATGTTTTGCCTCTTTTCTGTGCCTTCCTTGACGAGCATCGCCTTGATGAGAAGGAGGGGCAGTTTTGTTTGTTTTCTGTGTCCTCATATTGAAAAACACAGGATCTGGCATCTGGAGTGAGGATGGTGGAGGCAATGCATTGGAGCTTTCTGCTGACCTCCTCTTTCCAGGGTTAGCTCCAGAATATTAGAAGTGGGCCAATCCTTTTCATCCTAATGGTGAAATACATAGGTAGACTGTCTACTCACACATTTCACCGGTCACTATATCTTTAGCAGCCAGTTCCTAGGTTCTGTCATTTGGCAATTGGAATTCTTGATGAAGTTGTGAAGAGGATGGGGTGGATCTGTTCTTGAGAAGCCATACTGAGTTTGTTTTGCAGGATAAATTAAGAGTTTTGATTGAAACACAGTGGAACCAGAGCAAACTTTTCATTTCTTGTGTCAACTGTGGTAATGCCCAATGGTGATTTTTTTCACACATCACATTACCAATTACAAAATAAATTCAGATAGTACAGGGGCCTCAGACCCTTGGGATGGTTCCTCTGGGCTTCTCCGCATCATCTTCTGTAACTTTGTTTTTTAAATCTCCCAATGTTTAATAAAAACAGGTGTGTGTGTATGTGTGTCCCCAGCTCATTTTAAAAGAAAAAAGTTAATCTCCCCAGGCCTTCACTGCTGGCAAGAAGAATTTTAAGATATAATATGCTGCCATTTTGGTCCTGCCATTGTGTGGGCCTTGCCTTGCCACACCTGAGCCATCTCTGCCTCTCTCATAGATCATCTCTGAAGTAGCATTTGACCCTTGGCTTAAAAGAGATCTCCCGCTCTTTACCAGGGGGTGGACAAAGTGTAGCCATCTGTTGGGTTGCAACATCAGTTCTAGCCCCCATAGCCAGTGGCAAGGAATGCTGGTGCTGGTGTTCCAGCAGCATCTGGAGGGCTGTACGTTTCCCACAACTGAAGTAGAGTGTACTTGTTTTACATCTAGGCACTATCAGTTAAAAGGTTATCTGGAAGCAGGATCCAATTAGCACTTGGATCCTCCTGAACCAGATAGTAAACATAAAATGTGCAGACTTTCTTAATGCTTAAGTGAATGGAGCTAAGAATGTTTGCACTGTTTCAGGGAACTACTAACTTTGTCCTACTCTTTCAGTCTGGGTTGGCAGCTAATTGTTAACTACTTACCGGGTGGCTGAGATAAGTCTTGCAAATGAATCGTTAAAGTGCTACTTAAGAGACACTTGTGACTATTTCTGCGCGGACTGTCTCTTTCTGCCATTGTCAGTCTAAGATGGTTGCCTCTCTTCTCTGGTTAACAGATGAAGGCTGGCTGGAAGTTGTCCAGTCCTTAATTAGAGTTATTCCATTAGAAGATCCTCTGGGACCAGCTGTGATAACTTTACTATTGGATGAGTGTCCATTGCCAACAAAAGTAAGTGAAATAAATATGTGTGACTCATAGCCTGGTTTCAAACACACGTAGCAAACAAGGCTTTAGAGTGGCATCTTTTAAAAGTAGCAAGGTCTGTATGGGGGTTGTGTTGGGAAACGAGATGTAACTATATATCTGCTTCACTTCCATGTAAATACACTGGACAAAAGTCATCACAGTGAAGTGAATGCAAAGTGAATTGGTATATGCTTTATCTTCCTATAATGGATCGCAATAGCAATACAGATAAGAGAGTTTATTTGGTTTAGGTAGTGTTCATTATTTAATCCTGCCATTGCACTTAGGGAAGCAGCATCAGCAAGAACAATAGGGAGCAGAGCTCTGCCGATATGTGTTGTAATGATTTTTACTATTTTCTTGTTCTGAAGATGGGCTTGCTTAAAATTGTGATTACCATTTAAGTGTTTTGTGTCGTCATAGTTCAGTAGATATGTGTTGCCAATATTCCCTCTAAGCTGTGTGGTTGTGCAGTGCTGCGTTGGTGTTGCACACCCAAGCCAGTGTAGCCGCCCATTTGCGTCCAATCACAGCCAGAACCCTGCTATCGCTGGGTGGAGCCCCTACTCAGTGCTGGTGGAAAATTAGAAGGAACATTGTGTGTTGGTATTCATTATAAAGCAAAATATTAAACAAAGATGTACAAAAAGGAAACTTGCTTAATTTTTCCAAAGCCTATTGTTTAATTCAGTGGATTGCGTACATTTTAATCAGCCTGCATTGGCAGTGAGTGATTTGCTGAGATCAGATTAGCAGAAAGGAATGTGTGCCTTGGTATTGATCCGTTTGACTCTTCTTAACTTCCTTACATAGGATGCACTGCAAAAGCTGACGGAAATACTTAGTTTAAGTGGAGCCGTTGCTCGCCAGGATGCCTGTCATCCCGCCAAACACCGGAACACAACGGCAGTACTGGGCTGTTTAGCAGAAAAACTTGCAGGTACATGGAGTTTTATTGTCTGCTTATAGGTAGCTAGGATGGCTATATGACTCCCATTCTTTCTCTCTCTTCTTCCTCCCCATTTTCCCCTCTTAACTTTTCTTCAACTTGCACTTTAACTGCAGAAAGTACATTGCATGCAATTAGACATTGTCTTCCAGCCCATCCTTTAAAGCCTTGGTTGCTGCTTAGAGCTTTAACTTTTCCAATGAAATCAATCAGTCTTAAAAGTGCAGAGCTTAGTGTGTGTGTGCTCTCAGGAACTTATAAATATGGTCTTTTGTTAATGAGTGTTGAGCAGGAATTCAAATTTGGCACTTTCCTGGAGAATGCCTTTAATGTACTACTGGATTTTTCTGCAGTGATAATCTAGCAGAAGCAACTTTTAAAAAGAAAAGCCAAAGTAGTGGAGAAGACAGGATACCACAGATAGCTCTTTAACAGCCATGTATTAAAATAAAGTAATGCAACTGTTTAGATGCACATGTTTCATTTTTAGTCTTGTTGCAGGCCCTGCAAGTGTAAGTTTACTCAGCCAGGGGATTTTGGAGTACTTACTGCAGAGCTTGGTGAGTAAAATAAATAAGCTTCCTTTTAAAAATTGTTGTGTTTTGTGGCGCATGCCAGAGGATTTAGTTTTATGCGCTTTAGCAAATGCAAGTCGAAACTAAGATGTGTTGTAGTGTAACAAGCATGCTTTTGTCTTGACAATGCAAATGATTTTCCCCATGTTGGTCAAATCCCTAAAGATTTTCTGCTTGCAGAGGGCAGGGAAGCTTAAAGGAGGACTGTAGGCCAGTAATTCTCTTCTTTGTCGTAGGAGTTCCAGTCTCATCCGACAGTAATGCTTTTTGCACTAATAGCCCTGGAAAAGTTTGCACAAACAAGTAAGTGTGATTATTCAAAATGGGGTCAAAAAGCTGAACTCAAAATGGCTGCCTGTAGTTACAACGAGGAATTGTATCTTCTTAATTGTTTATAAGGGTCTGCCTGAGAGGGCCCTGGCTCGCTGTTTGTTTATTTATTAGTTTTATTTATATGCCGCATTTCTCCCAACAAGGGACCCAAAGCGTCTCACAACATTAAAATTCACACCATTTAAAAACACAATAAGTTAAATATTAAAAGATAAATCAAACTGTTTACTCCATATCCTAGAGCAGACATCAACAGCCTGTGAGCCACAGTGGTGCCTGAGTAACTCCCTTGCCACTGTCTTCCCCACCACCAGTGGAAGGAAGGAGGCTGGGTCACACTCACAACCACCTCCAGCCATAGCCATACAGTGCTTGAGCCTTCTACACTCATGGCTTCCTGCGGTATCCAGAGGCACAAAAGTTTACCATTCTTGTATTCTTGTTAGATGGCCCTGATTGTTACTGGGGGAGCTATCCCAATTATTTCTCAGTCAAAGAAAGTTAAGTCCTCAAACTGAGCCTTTGGTGCTAATGCTATCTTACACTGTGAGGCAAAGGGATTTCCTGAGTATAGCAAGCAAAAAATAATTTTAAAAGGACCTCCCAGCTTCTGTTTTAATGCAGGATCATACTTACTAGATGCTGATCCCGCTAACTGATTGCCAGTTTTTCAATGCCTCAATCCTTGATTGTTGCATGATTTCTTCCTCGAGAAACAGGAGAGATAAATCCTTTTCCTTTTTTTTTTTACACCAAGTTTTAAAACACGGTGTCTGTCCTTGCAGAAGCTTCTTTCAGTATTGTTTCTCTATAGCTTCTCCTGCATAGTCTTTTTCACAGTTTTCTTCCTGTGTTTTCCAATTCTAGGTGAAAATAAAATGACTGTTTCTGAAACGTGCATCAGTGACCAGCTTGTCTTGTTAGAGAAATGGGCAGATAATCCAGACTACTTAAAACGCCAAGTTGGATTCTGTGCCCAGTGGAGTTTAGACAATCTCTGTAAGTACGAATATAAGCAAAGTAATCTGGTTCAAAATGCCATTACCTTTTGTTTTGTTTCTAATTAAACAGATATTTGACCTGATATAATGGTGACAGATTAGCTTTCAAAATCATGATATATGGGGTTTTGGATAAAGCCAAGACCTTGCCATGGGCCCTATCCCATGCCAAATACTTAAATTAGTCACAAATTGCATATCCTTGTTCTAGCTTTCTGAACAGTTAAAAAAAACCCTGGCAGTGGGAAGGGGGGCACTGGGAGCTTTAAAAATGTGGGAGGGGGCTTATGAAAGCAAATGGAGGCCACATTTTACATATTCCTGTCTCTACCACCGATTACAGCACCAGTCACCTATGATTAGATGCCAGGTCTGTCCCTTTAAAATTTATTCATAGGTTGGATGGAGAGAAGTGGTTGTTTGGAAATTACCTGCACTACATTGGTTAATCCCCTATATAGACAGTAGCATTAAAACAGCTGCATCTTACTGCTAGATGTGAGTTCTGTATTACTGGCACTGCTGCAGAAAAAGTCCTGACTTCTCAATTTATCCTCTTCCATAGTTCTGAAAGAAGGCAGACAGTTTACATATGAAAAGGTTGACTTGACCCACATTAAGGCCATGTTGAATAGTAATGATGTCAGTGAATACCTTAAGATCTCCCCACATGGGCTGGAGGTAAGTCTTTTCTTACAGTCTTCCTTCTAAGAGGTTTTTACTCATTCTTTCTCTTACTCATCAGCACAGCAAGGTTTCAGGAGCATCACCGGCTGGATTTGTTTTCCTTTGGAAGAAAAGGCACTAATCTGGCGACTTTCGTAATTTTTATGCTCTTAACTCAAACTAAGGAGGATTTTTTTTTATATAAAAGCAGGATTGTAGGTGAAAATATTGACAAGCCAATTAAGGGTGTTTAATATGTTCATTCTAGGTTTTGTTTTGTTTTTCAGTTTAAAACTGGGGTCCTATTTAATTACAGTGTTAAGTAACACAGAAAAACATAACAGATACAAGCAAAGATTAGTTTAAAACCATTTAATGTCAAAGTAGTGCTGAAGACTTCCGTATAGGGACAAAATTGTGCCTGCTGGGCCAGGCTGGCATTTTCTTTGGAGGCCAATTAATTGATTGATTATTTGTTTCTATTTCCCAGGCTCGGTGTGATGCCTCATCTTTTGAAAGTGTCCGATGTACCTTCTGTGTAGATTCTGGAGTCTGGTATTATGAAGTCACAGTCATTACATCTGGAGTGATGCAGATAGGATGGGCTACCAAAGACAGCAAATTTCTCAACCATGTAAGTGCTGCCTTCTCCCACGGGGTTAGGCTCATCAAGCAGCATGGACACTGCAGGCCCACCTCTGTATTTTCGTTATCCCACTCCGTTAGGTTAGAGGCAGTTTAAAATCAGATGGAAGGTCTTCTCTGTGACACCACATTTTTGGAATCACCCACTCTCAGTATCATTGCCTATTCTAGTTTCTGTGTAGAGGCTGTGTGGATTCTGCCATTTTCCTGCATTTTTGGTTTAAGTGTCCTAAAGTCCATGAATGACATACTTGGGAATGTAGGATGTAATTGCCTCTTAAACCTAAGGCCACTCATCCGAATCTGTAGTCTTTATTGTGTGTATTGCTATATCTTACTCATTAGATTAAAGACTTTAAGTTCTTCACACTGGTGCAAACCTGATGAAGTGACATTTTAATCTACAAAAGCTCATTTATTGTATTGTGATTTTTAGTGATCTATAAAGATATCACCTGGTTTTGCATTTGGATTTTATATTGTTTGGACTGCACAGCTACCCTTTATTTCAGACATGAAGTTACCTACAGTCAAATACGGGCATTCATTTCAGTTTTTACTCTTATGAACATGGCTGTAATAATCTGTCTAGTGTTCGCTGAACCATGGCTGCAAGTTCTGGCTTCAAGTTCTAGGCATTCAGTTTCTGTTTCTGAGCTGCCTAAAGCCACTTGAGAGATGGAGACCAAGCGAGATGGTCCTTAGGTGGGTGAAGCTCAGCCTAGGCAAGAAGTACAGTTTGACTGATAGACCGTATAGGAAGGGCAGAAGGAAGGATCCAAAAGTGTTTGCTGATAGTTTGTCATGGGCTCTTCTAGTTTTGAGAGAGACCCTATCTTGAAATGTTCTGGTGACATGCCTTCCCTGGAATAAAAAGAGGAAACAAGTTACTGATAAACAAGAAAAGTGAAAAAGAAGATGCAGAACTTGTCAGCAGAAATGAAATATCATAATAAATTGATTTTGGGGAGAGAATACAGATGAGGTTCTGTCCGTGGATTTCTCCCAGAGGACATGAATTGTTCCTATGAGTTGTAAATTTAAATATTTTAATGATCAGTTTGCACCAGGGTGGGTCGATATCATTTGGACTCAATTTAAATAAAACATATTTTTTTAAATAAATATATCATTTATTTTTATCCGGCCCAGTTTGTGACATTCTTTGAAAAATACGTGAAAAATTATTGAGGGGGGGGGAATATGATTTAAATTACTGGTTTGCAACTCTGTCACTTGGGAACTTTGATCATTGATTTAAATTGCCTTGATTTAAACTTACCCGTCTTAAGTTAAACAAAGCTAGGAGCCTCAAGAGGATGTTTTCGGTCCGGTTGACTGAACAATGAATCAGATGTTCAGACTTCCACTCAGAGGATACGCTTGAGCTGACGGTTCTCTGGCCAGGCTTCCCCTCTGCCGTGAAGGAGCAGGTGGATACCTTGTGTATGCCTGTTGTTACGCAGAAGAGTTGTCTGCCTTTTTATAGAAAGATCTCTGCCAGTTCTGGCATACCCCAAGGAAGCTAAGTGGTGTCTTCTGTGTTCCTTGAAGGAAGGTTACGGTATCGGGGATGACGAGTACTCCTGTGCATATGACGGCTGCCGGCAGCTGATCTGGTATAATGCCAGAAGTAAACCACATTCTCATCCATGTTGGAAGGAAGGTACGCCAGCCCCCTCTCTTCTTGCCGCCTTCTAGAATTCTTCTGGTTAAATCTCTGGAAAGGGTTTAAATGTGTCAGTTTGGTATTTTCTGTCAGTCTCGTACGGTCTTTCCCGACCTGTTTCCTTTCATTGTAGATATTTCCTCTTGAAGATGCATTGTGCACGTTCTAGTAAGAATGCAGTGGTAAAGCTTGCCAAGGGAATGAGGGGGCTGTGCCCCTTTTGGTTAGGGAGAGTATCACTTTGGAATGCCCCCCACCCACCCAAGGGATGGTGCTTTCCCCAGCACATACAGAAATACTGTTCTTTCTCCCATTTATTTAAAACATTTCTACCTTGCCTTTCTCCTTAAAGAGGACCCAAAGCCACAAATTGTTAGAAGACAATATTTAAAACTAAGAACAATGAGTATACAAAACCAGCTTGCATCATTAAGATATAATATTAAAGCAAAAAAAAAAACAAAAACCCACCAACAGTCTGAGAAACGATAAACACAAGCAGTACTGTGGAAATGTTGCCGTTTCAGCATGTTGGATTGGGTAAAAACCGGGGATGTGGTTCCTGTTTCATAGCAGCAACACATGATGCTGAGACATTTGTGTAGTTTTGGCCGTGAATGTACATTTGGGAGGGGATGGATGCATATTCCATGTTTTCAATCGCTTCTGTAAGGATCTTTGTTGTTGTTTTTTTCTCACATTTGACTTAAGGTGACACCATTGGATTTTTACTCGACCTGCAAGACAAGAAAATGATTTTTTATTTAAACGGGAACCAGCTTCCTGCTGAGAAGCAAGTCTTTTCTTCTGCTGTGTGAGTAGCATCGTTCTCTTGAGGGCAGCAAACATTTCATAGCACATTAACAGTTAGTCCTCATGGTATTTGAAAGGAGGCCATCAAGGATTGCGAATGTGTAGTGACCATCTTTTTGTGCTAGCAGTAAGGAGCCACGTCGTCGTACACATATGGCTTTGCCCCAGGGTCACTTGGTTTACAGCAGCCATCTCTCCCCCTCCCCTTTTATGCACCCAGGATAGCAATCAGCATCTCAGTAACGAGCAAGAGTCTTCTGCCATGGTAAACTTTTTTTTCCCTTTACACAAGCAAAAACCAGCAACAGGATCCTTGGGCTTTTTATTTGGAGGGGGTTGATGTTTAGTGATGAGGGTTCTCCTGCAATCTACTTGAATGATTCCACCACTTGTGAATTTTTCCAAGTGCATTAATACTCTCCTTTATTTTGCAGGTCTGGCTTCTTTGCTGCAGCTAGTTTCATGTCTTACCAACAGTGCGAGTTCAACTTTGGAGCAAAACCTTTCAGATATCCACCAACAACTAAATTTAGCACCTTTAATGATCATGCCTTCCTATCAGCAGAAGAGAAAATAATTTTGCCAAGGTATTCCTCTTTTTTTAAACTTCTCAGTGCATGAAACTGAAGAGCTACGATAGAATCATGCCTTATAGGATTTGTTGCACTCTAATGTGGTAAATACAGGATGCTATGAAATCTTAATAGTCTGAAGTCCATATCATGCCTTCAGCCTGTTACAGAGGATGAACTGATTCATCTCATGACTGCTTGAAGTTTGGGAGTGGGGGGCGGAAAGTCCCCTAGAGATGGCAGATATCTGTAGCTCTAAGAAATGTTTGGGTGGGAGCAAAATCTGAGGCTAGCAGAATAAATCATGTATATGAAGAAACCCAGCGTGTTTTTAATTAAAGACTGTGATCAATTACGTACCCACAGCTGGGGATATTTATTTGCAGGTATTAGAGATTTATCATTGTACACGGTAGTTGTGCCATCGTATCCATTTCGTGTGAGCATGATACCCTGACGCTCTTTATCATTGTACACGGTAGTTGTGCCATCGTAGTATCCATTTCGTGTGAGCGTGATACCCTGACGCTCTTCTAAATGCCAAAGCAAGTAATCAGTTGTGCTTGGTTTTCCTCCTCCTTAGGCACAGACGCTTGGCCTTGTTGAAACAAGTGAGCATCCGAGAAAATTGTTGCACTCTTTGCTGTGACGAAATAGCAGACACAGAGCTGAGGCCGTGTGGACACAGGTAATAGGAATCCTGTTTTTAATGGCAATACATATCTATATATATTCACAATAAAACGTAGTGAGTTCAATTCTTTAAAAAGATAGGGTGGGTTGGGGGGGGTCATCTTTCTGTTCTTCCTGAGGAAGAGTTCTGAGTGACTTAGAAGCTTGCATTCTCTGGGGCAATCCAGGCCTTTCGTTAACTGACCTGACCTGCCTCGTTGTCCTTCCAGTGACCTGTGCATGGAGTGTGCCTTGCAACTAGAGACCTGCCCTTTGTGTCGGCAAGAAATACAGACTCGGGTCCGACAGATCGCTCACATCTCATGACACGTAGAGGACGGTGTCTCATCGACGTGCCTCTCATCCATTCCATCTGATGCCAGAAGAGAGAAGGGCAACTCAAGCCCCCACCACCCATGTGCTGAAAACCCAGCTGTGGGGCGGTTTTTATATTGAACGATACAGGGAAGCCTGTGAAGTCACCCCGTTGCCTCAGAGCTGTGGAGTGTTTCTTTTCACAGTAATGAAAGTTGGTGGTGAAACTTGAGTTACCTGTTGGTTTGTGTCCAGCTAAGGCTGCTACAGAGTCTCTTCCTTCATCGCCTCCCCCTCAGTCCATCTTTTCCTTTTTTTTCCCCCTCCTTTTTCTGCGCCTTCCACGTACCACATAAGATTTTGCACTGGAAACATAGAATTCAAAATCTCATAGACTGGAGGGCATACCTGTCCCCTGACACCTTTATTTTTATCAGTTGTCATGCATCTGAAACAAATATCAATATTTCTTGATCAATGTAGCTTCCTGCTGGTCAGAAATCTTCTGTATTTTTTGGACTGCTGATATGAAAATGTTCAAAGACTTGAAACCTACATGAAGAAACTGATTTGTACAGAAGGTGTGAAGATTATAGAGGATTCCAAATTTTTTGATATCTTGGAGATTCCAAAGAATGTTGATGATCTTTTCTTTTTTTTTAACTGCAGAGAATTCATGGTATTTTCATTCATAGTGTTTCTAACTCCAATTTCAGTACCATTTCTGTGAGAAGTAAACTAATTTTCAGGATGAATTCTTCAAACGGCAATGCCAGACTGGAGAAAGTTTGACATTCATGGTATTTTAAGGTACCATTGGTCATTGTGCTTTTTTTTTTAAATTCAGCATCTATTGTTGCAAATTCTGTACATTTGGGAAATATTGAGCTGTAGATCTCCAGATTTGGAAAGAACGTGGAGCGAATGTGTTAATATGGTTTTTGCAAGAAATACATGTTTGAATAGCAATTAAGCCCAAGTTGGTCAAACTGCTCTTTTTGTTTAAGGGAGGTCTAACAAATTTAGTTATATTTTGCTAAGTGTATACCAGTAGGGTTGAAGGCAGGTGTGTTGAAGCCACCAGGCATAATATTACTGCAATTCCTTGTGGGCTCTTGAAACAGACGAAATTTTCATGACAGTGCAACCAGTATCCAGCGTTACATATTTCTTAATACAATAGGGCCCCCATATCCACGGGGGGATCAGTTTCAAGCCCCTCAACAGTTGCTTAAAAAATGCAGATTTTATTCATTCATTCATTCATTCATTCAACTTATATGCCGCCCACTATATCCTGGGCGGCTCACAATTATAGCGGATGCTATTTTAATAGCAAACACTGTACATAACATGGCTTTCTTTAGTGGTCAGTTTTGGTAACTTCATTTTTAGAAATATATTTTTCTGGAATTTTAGCTTTAGTCTTTCCAGACTATGGATTTGTGAACCAGCGGAAAATTATCCTGTGGATACAGGGGTTCTGCTGTACTGTGCTTCCATAGAAGTGTAAAGATAACACACACAGAATCGACCTGTATGAAAACCTTGGTTTAAAAAGAAAGGGTAAAGAGGTGTGTTTGATGAAAGCATATGGATAATGCCTACCGAAGCCTAAGAAGACAGAAGTGTGCCTGCAAAATGTTCCAACTCCTTATCGGTCTTCCTCATTCTGCGAATGAAGGGAAATTTATGCCCGCTTAATTCATCTGGATATCGAGCTTTGCTTAAAAACCATAATTTATCAGAAAGCATAGAGCCTGCCAGCGTTCAATTGATAATTGAAAAATCGGTCCTGAATACATTGGTCTGTAAAAGAGTCTTCCATTTTCCACCTCGTTGGCTAGGATCCCTGACACCGATTGATTTTAGTGTTTCTCTCCCACTGCCACCCTGTATCTTTTGAAACACGAATCCTTCATCAAAGTTATCCAAGCCACTGCTGTTCTTCTAAGCTTATAGTGCCATTCCTGCTACAAAGAGGGTTTGGGGACAGGAGCGAAGGTGCAGCAGCAGCTGTCCAAAGACAGCTAAAAGTCCCAGTGTGGTTTTCCTGAAGCAGTTTTCCTGCTTACATGTGACTGTGTGTGCTTCTTTATTGTTTGAAACAGGCATTGCAAAAACCAGCCAGACAGATTTTTCTAAAGGTTACACTTTTTGACGGTCCTGGCCCTCCTTCAACCTTCACACTTCATAACCTGTAAAAAGGTTTGGAGAGCTCCATTTCCATTTCTTTCCTCGTGGCCAGACCTGAATTAGCTTTTTTTAAAAAAATACAATTTAATGGGACTTTGCTTTTTAAAACGTATTTATGTGAAGCATTTTTAGGCTGCCGGGACCAAGAAAGCTTGGGGGAAACACACAAGTAGCTTTGTGTGAAAGGTTTGGGTACGTTTCCCAGTTCTGGTACTAAACATTCAAGAGTGACCTAGCTATGTTTTTCAGTGGAATGTGAGCAGCTCATTTTCAAGATTCGTAAGAGAATACCGTATGTAGCTTTCTGATTTGTCGTGCTCCAGTTCCATCACCCAGAATAAACAGTGGCAAGAGGTGTTTCCATAGTATCTGGAAGGGGCCACACAAGTCTGCCATCCCACCTTTAAAGGTTAAGCATTTAAAAAATCTTGAGAGAAGGATAGGCGGATTAACATCTCTTGACCTAGGAATGGAGCTTCCACGGTGAAAGGCAGTGTATCTGAAGTTTATGAGGTTGGGCAAAAAGACCTGTTGCTTTTTTATTATTATTACTCTGCATGTGACCTGTATGCTTGCTACTGAAAGAGGAGCCTTTCCCGAGGAGGCGCCTCCCAGGTGTGTGGGTCAGCAGTTCATAATGATGGGATATGTAGTTCAACAATACGAAAAGCTACCCCGCTGTATTTCGTGGCTGGTTTCCTTTTGAACCTAGAGAAGAGGTCGAGGCCGCGCCCCCTAGAGGAGACCGCGCTCCCTCTCCACGCCCCTTTTGGAGAGGGTTGTCTTTCTGCGCTTCTGATTGGCTGGGCGAGACGCTCGTTCCTCCCAAGCCGCCCGATTGGCTTCCTTTCCTGCCCGCCATTGGCCGGAGCTGACCCAGCTACCGGAAGTGGCTGCTGCCTAGGCAACGGGAGGGGGGGAAAAAAAAGGAGGCCGCGGCCCTTTCAACGGAGTGTATGGAGGAGTTGGAGGGCTTCGCTTTCGTCTTCCTCCGGGCGGTGAGAGGGGCTGGAGGGCGAGGGCTGGAGGAGCACGACCCGAACCCTTGGGGAGGGGCGGCCCGGTAGTTAGAGGTAGACTGCCTCTGAACGAGGAGGCTCCATCGCGGCGGCAGCGGCGGCGCCCTGTTGGGTCTCCCCAAGGCAAGGCAGGGGCCCCGTTTTCCAGAGTTGTCTCCCGACCCAAGGCGCCCAGAACCCCTTCCTTCCCCCCCCCAGCATCTCCTACTTTGGGGGGAGGGGTAGAGTGCCTCTGGCTGTGGAGGCTCTGCTTCCGCTGGAAAGCTTCTCGCACCTTTCGCCAAGATAGAGGAAAAGCGCTGTGCTTTTACACACACACACACACACACACACACACACACACCTACCCAGGTGTGGAAAATATATAGAGCAATGGAAGGTGAGAGCAGGGGGACACCAAAGGCCATCTAGTCCAGCCCCCCTCCAGAGGCAAGGGTTCAAAACACTCTCTGACAGATGGCCGCCTTTATCTATCTTACATCTATTTGGAATTAAAAGAAGAGTGGCAAGAATGCAAGAAGAAGGGATCGTCACAGCCCTTCCACGTTTACATGCATCCTTCCTGGCCTTCCAACTTCCATCCCAGGCTGTTTTCCTTTCGGCTGCATAAAGGAGAGAGAGAGAGTTGGTCTAATTTTGGCATTATTACACGACTGGAGGGAAAACAAATCTACTTCAAAAGGGCCAGAACGGTGTGATTGCATCTCAGTCTGCCTTTTTGGCTGTCCACCTCCGAATGGAAACAGAAGTTATGGGTAGCTTTCTCTTTAAGAAAATGCCTGGCCCTGTTTATCCAAGTCAGCTTTATTTTTCTGGAAAAGCCCTCCTGATCAGCAACAGTACATCGAAATCCAGAGCATAGCATGGAGGTCTTCCTTTGGGTATTAGATATTTGTATTCTTAGGAACATATTTTCCTGTAATTCAGCCGTTTCCCTCTGTGCATGATGAAGGGTGTGAATTAATCATAGGCAATTTTTATTTATTTACTTGTAGTCTAAACTTCCTGGATTGCTCAGTGGTTTAAAGCTCTGATTGCAGAGTCTAAGGTTGGGAGTTCGATTCCCCACTTTGCATTCCAGGAAAAGAGCCAGATGGGGTGACCTTGATTCCAGGGCACCCCCAGAAGAAGGGCATGGTGAACCACTTCTGAATACAGTGGTGCTTCGCTAAACGATGATAATCCATTCCACTGAAATTGCTGTTTAGCGAAATCATTGTCTAGCGAAAAGCATTTCCCCATTGGAATGCACAAGCCTGTTTAATGCGTTTCAATGGGGAAGAATCGTCGTTGTCTAACGAAGATTGGCCATAGGAAAGCCGCTTTGCAAGCCGACGATCAGCTGTTTAAATAGCTGTCTTGCGAAGCTTAGGTCCCAAAAAAACCTGTTTGTGAGCGCGGAGGGAGCTGTCAAAATCGTCGTCTAGCGAAAATCGGTTTGCGAAGCAGGGACCAAACATTGTCCAGCGAAATTCCCCCATAGGAATCACTGTTTTGCGAATTGCTATAGCCATTGCAAAAACTCAATGTCTAGCAAAAAAAAAAAAAAAAAAACTATCATGCAGAGTAACTGTCTAGCGAGGCACCACTGTACTTGCTACCTAGCAAACTCTAGAAAGGGTCCCCATAAGTTCTAATTGACTGGGCAGCACTCAATTGTTATTGTAGTACATCGACTGCAAAATGAATTCCATTTGATGACCCAAAGGGCTCGCCTCTGCCAGAACTAGCATTCCCCAATTGCTGGGAAATCGTTTATGGAGGGTTCTGTTGTGCTCACACGTTGCTTCTGAGCTTTCTTTAAGCACTCGGTTGGCCACTGTGGAGCAGAACCTTGGACTCAATGGCCCCTATTAGAAATTGACCGGACAATATCCCGCACCTTGGTGCTGAGGCCAAATTAAAGTGTTTAAATCTGTGCTCCTTAAAACAGGTGGCGAAGCAGCAATGGAGACGTTAGAAGAAGAAAACTTTGGTGTGTCTATGTAAGTATCTTTCTATTTCCGCATCGCTATAAACTGTAAACAGTTCAGTCCACAGAGTAGCATCTGAAACATAAAAACCAATGCAGTGTGAGATTTTAGTGCAGTAACAGTATCAACTCCTGTAAGGATGTTTTGGTGCAGCTGTTGAAAAAACAACATAATTCCTAAAACAGAAGGACATTAATCTTGCAACCACAACCTTAGAGAGTCCTCTGCAGTGGTAAACATAAATGTATTCATTGTAGCACGTACACTTGGCTGGAGCAGAGTCTCAGAGGAAGGACGTGTTCTCCTCAAGAGAAAGATTGTATCTGTATATATTTATGGGTAAGAGATCAGAAACCGAACATAGCAGGGCCCGAAAAGCCACAGAGTCTTAGAGGTAAAATATGAGAGTCTTATGTAAAGCTCAGGTATAACCAAAGCAAAACATATCCAGCAGTGGCTGTAACCCTGGTCTTTGTGCCATAATATTTATGGTAACGCTTTAGGTGGGAACAGGAGCTATTCATAAAGTGTTAAGTGAAATCTTATTAACTTTTCTGTTACCATAGAGAGGAGTCACTGGGAATTTTAAAGTTAAAATTCATAATGTTAAGGATTTCTTTCTTTCCTTATCTAGCTACCATATCCTCTCCTATTCTCTATCTGCTCTTCCAGTATCCTTGTCTTTCAAAAGTCCACATCACTGTGTCTTGATTGCATTACTTAAATATCCAAGCAAATCAAATATTGTGTGAAAGTCGCAGGGCACTGTTATTATGTTTGACTCAGCTTAGATCACTTAAGCTTTCAGTTGCAGCAATAAAGATATTCTGAGCTAGAGAGGCTGTTGTTATCCTTCTCCTACATGGCTAGATGGCAGTAAGTCACACAATAAGGACTTCAACTATTCATGGCTAGATGGCAGTAAGTCACAATAAGGTCTTCAACTGTGTCCATCTTGTACGAATCAGGTTAGGAGCAACATTTCCTCCTTTTTGTCCATGACATTGTTTATTATTTTACATTTCAGTCCTGTTCCCACATAATGCCAACGGAGCAGAAACGGAAGAACAGTATCTTTCCCAAAATCTTACGTGGTGCCTTCATGTTTAAAATTTGGAATCCAGGCTCAGCTCTAAAACGAGACAGGATGGAGGTGGACGTAGAGAACTACTTCTCATTTCTGATTACCTGTTACTGTATGTTTATTCTGAAGTATAGAAAATGGCTTAGAAGACATGCTTATAAACATAGGTGACTGGAACACAAAAGCAGGGAACAAGGCAAAAGCAAATTTTATGAAGACATTTGACCTAGGAGGGAGAAATGAAGCAAGAACTGCAAAGCCAGCAATCTGTTTATTGCAAAGACATGTTTCAAGCAACTGAACAGACAGCTGCACATTTGGATATCACCAGATGCTCAATGTGGAAACCAAGCAGACTATGTAACTGGAAGCAGAAGATGGAGAAGCTGTATTCTCTTAGGCAAAACAAGACCAGGAGCAGATTGTGACACTGCTCATGAACTGTTAATATTCAACATGAGAGCAAAACTGAAAAAGAACACTAAGAGTTTTAGTGCCAAAATGTTTAAACAGTATTCCTGATGAATTTCAAATCCACAAAAGGAAGAGATTTGCATTACTAAACTCAGTTACTGTGAACCGGAAGAACTGTGGTTTGAAATCAGAGATATTAGGGAAGAACGCAAAAATACAAATTCTGTAGTAAAAATAGAAAAACCTAGATAGATAACAGGAAACACTTAAAATTGTAAAGGACAAGGTGAGAAAATTAAAAGGTGGCAGAAATAGGGTCAGAACCCTGAATGCAGGTTTTCAGCGACTGTCATATAAAGTCAAACTATTACAATAATCAATGCAAAGAGATAGAGAAGAATGAGAAAATAGGGGAAACAAAAGATGTCTTCCAGAAGATCCAAGAAATCAGAGGGGAATTTAAGCCTAGATTAGAAATGCTGAATGACCAACAAGGAAGCATGCTATCTGACCAGGAGAAAATAAAGAAAAGGTGGAAACAGTATACTGGAAACCTATAAAGAAGAGATAAAAGGATCAGAGACTCCTTTGAAGAAGAATCGTATGAGATAAAGAACCTGCAGTTGTAGAAAGTGATGTAAAAGCTGCTCTGAAAGCACTAGGAAGAAATAAATCACCAGGGGTAGATGAACTACCAATAGAACTATTTCATACTCATATATTAACCTGCATTTCTGATTTCTGCTGTGGTAAGTAACCAACATCTTGTTTGCTCTTATCTTTTTTTTAGCTCTTCGCCTTCTGATGCTGAATTTGATGCTGTTGTCGGATATTTGGAAGACATCATAATGGGTAAGCTATCATTTACACAGTGCTGCTTTCAACAGATAACCTTTGTATCATGTTCACAGCTGCTTGGCCGCAACTGGGTTCGGTTCGTTGGTTGGTTGGTTGGTTAGTTAGTTGGTTGGTTGGTTGGTCACACTTCTGTGCCCATTTCTTCCTATGTGTATATATTAAAGAGGTATCTTAACGCTCTTGCCTTTTTCATTGACTGGCCAGGCTTTATCTGTTTGTGCATATATACGTACACATGTTTGTGTGTGTTATCTTGATCATTTTACTGGTTATATGGCTTGTAAAGTTCCTGAGCAGTTCCTTTAGTGACACAGGAGAAAAAGAAAGTAACATTGCTGATAATTAATGAGTTGCTTGCTCACGTTCCTGGTAGTGTGCCAGTCAAGGGAATGCAGATGGCAGTCTGTTAAGTAGTGGCGATTCTCTGCCATGATCTGCACAATTAATCTTATGCCTGGGTAAATCTCCAATAGGATTATGGCCGATGCTGGAGAGAGAAGGTGGTTTTTGGATGTCCCTCTGTAGCTGGGGGAGCGTAATGCTGAGGCAGCTGTCTCTAGCCGAGGCTGGGTTTTGGAAGCCTTCCTTACCTTTCACATAGGAATAGAATTCTTTTGTCAAATTCCTCCCCATCTTTTCCGAGTTTGGCTCCTGTTTTAGGAGAGGTGGAGCTCAGAAGGGAACCACTCCTGAGAACAGCTGGGGCCGCTTGCTTTTCAACTGAGCCTATTTTATGAGCCACAGGGTGAAAGACCGCTCTCAATGAGTGTGTAGTATGTGGAGTCTCAGGCAATAGGCATCAGAGGTAATTAAGCATTCCCGTTAGCGCACAACTGCTCAGTAAGCAAGGCTGTATGTGAATCGACCGGGGCAGTTGAGCTAACCTGGTTTAGTTAAAGGGCTACAGTTTGTGTACATGTTGAATTTTCTAAGGAATTGTTACATCACCTGCTGCTCACCCAGCTCCGTTCTCTGGGTGCAACTTGCAGGCTCCGCTTTGTTTATGCCCATGCCAAGAAGTTCTAAGAATGACAGTGTGTTAAGTCTCCTCTCCCTACTCTTTGTCCTACCTTGCTGAAAGTTTTTTTTTAATGTAAAATTGTTTTCATATATATTGTTGTATGTTTTCCTGTAAGCCGCCTAGAGTGGTCCTAACCGACTAGATAGGCGGGATATAAATAAAATAAA